ATAAGTAAACTGGAAAATCGCACTTTGGGCTCCAGGAAATTTTGTTGTGTGAATATAAGCAACTTCTTGATCCAACCAGATGGTTTATCTAGACCTTTTATAAAAAAGATCAGCAGAAAACATTTTTGATTTTAATACTTGTTTAATATTTAGTTTAAAGATGCTTGTTGTTCCTGTTTCTCCGTTCCATTATCAAGCTTCATTACTTAACGACCAGTTTTCTAGTAATACGTCAGGATCATAGTTTTTTTTAGTTTTTTTTATACTTTATGAATCCATGAGGCGGGAAATTCTGGTTTTACACTCTGTTACTGAGAGACATGCTTCTCACACACACAGTCCCAAAATACACACATGCACAAACCGGACCTGTGGGCATGCATCAGTGGAGAGATGGGGCTGCTTCACAGGGAGCGCGTCAGCTGTTGGGGGGTTTGTCGGCAGCACTCAGGAAGTGACCTGGCACCTCTCCAGCTACTAGACCAACTTCTATATTTTGGTCTGCCCAGGGATTTAAACTGGCAACCCTTTGGTTCCCATCCCAATTCCCTGCAGACATCCAGACATGACATCTTGTTGTTGTCCTTCACTGCATGCCTTTTTCTGAACATCATCAGCATGCATTGGCTCCTCATTCACAATTTGTTGAATAAACTAGTGACCAATAGCCTATCTATATGTATGCTCAGTGAAACTTCAGTGTAGAGCTAGCTCAGTATAAAACATGCTGTTTGATGATTATTCATACATTTCACTCTGTGGTAACTCAAAGCTAGATTACATGTAAGGCTGAATCTGATGAAGAATCCTGAGCCGACCCCTCTTATCAGAATACAACATGCATAAAAGAGTCACACATTAAAGGTGATGTATCTGTGTTTACTGTAAGTCTTTGACAATGAGATTTAAAATGACGCTTGCTAGGCTCGTTATGATCCTAAAATCTGTGGGTTGATGGTTTATACTGTGACAGTTATCTTATTAAGGCATCTGAATGGATTATACATTTGCATGCTGGGATGATTCTCACAAATGTATTTTTGGCATCAGCGTGATATGCAGGTTGATTTGTAAGAGATTAAATTCAGAGGAAAATCTTGTTATCCATGAATAGTTTCACAAAGAGACTTATCAGAACATGTCTTACCCCATCAAAGATGTTGATGTGATGGTATGAATGATCAAAGGAGATGTCGTCCATGTTGCTCAGTCTCATCGTTATCAAAGCCTTGGATTGGGTTGGGGTGAGACCAGATGTTTTTTTGTGCATTTGGCTGTCTGACATACAAATAGTAATTGTCTTGATCTTTTACTCCAGCCGAGGCAGGGATTGACATTTCTGCCATCAAGGGTTCTTCATTGATTTCCTTGAAACAAAACTTGTAAACTTGTATAAAAAGTAGTCATGTCTGAGAATGTGGAATATAAACTTTCCAATCCACTCTTAACAAGTATGAACAGTTTCAAGGAATAAGTGAGCGACAATAGCAGCCCAGTGATTTTTTTTTTTCATCAGTCGATCTGTAGAGTCCCTCTGCACCTTTAAGAAAAGCTAAAGACCAGCTCTTTCATGAATACCTACTAACTTAATGATGATGGTCTCCATATTATTGATGATGATGATGGTAATGATGATGGTTCTGTTTGATAACGACGACTTATAAGATGGTTTCTATACTGATTAGAGCTCTCAAGAACTGCCTCAATGTTGTGCTTTGCCTCTGGTCACTTCCTGTCAGCACCTGTGTGTCCAATCAGACTCAAAGCTGATCGTTTGCTCTTACTGACATTGTTCCCTTTTTTCTAGATCCTTGCTTGTGTTGTTCTTACTCTCTGATGTACGTCGCTTTGGATAAAAGCGTCTGCTAAGTGAATTGTAGAATTGTAGTTATATTGATTTATTTTTAAAAGTCAGATGACATAAAATACCCGTCAGTTTAAAGCTCAAACTGAAGAAAGTGTTTCATCTTTCGTAAAAAGATCAACATTCACAAAATACTGTGAGTCTTGCAGTGATCCACCACAGCAGCGTCCTCAATATGGACTCACATGATTCACTTCAACTTCATTACTTTCCCAAAGAATATTTAATCAGCAGCAGGCATCAAACACATCAGAAACATTAAAGACAACACCAGAAATATAAATACTGATGTACAGAAATGACAAGTAAAAAAACAGATATGTCCCACAGCACTAAGCAGGAAGCAGAAACACTTTGAAAACACCACAATAAAATCCACTGTTCAGCCAAACACAGTGCTGCTGTCCATGTATGTGTTCAAGTTTAAAAGGGTTTATATGTGATTTTTTTGATCTAGCAGATGTTGCCCTTGAGCACCAGCATGAAACCAAAACAACTCGCGCTGCATTGTTGTGTTAGCATGCTAATGCTAGTGATCTTTATTATGCTGGTATCTTCACACTGCATGTAAATTTACCTGAAATGAGCGTGATCTAGAAACACAGTTAAGCAGTGAGTACAGTATGTTATTCTTCTTTTCTCTAGTCCCTCAATTAAACAACTTTTATACACGAGGGGAGGAGTCAGCCGGCCGTCCGGGCGATGTAAACAAAGTGAAGATAGGACTCTGAAAACTCTGAAAACATCACAGACAGTGGGACTCGGGTGTTACACCCATTGTAGACAGTCATGACTCACAGAGTTATTTTCAGAGGAGATACTTGATATTATATTTAAGTGTGAAAAATCACATATAAAGACTTTAAAGTAAACATTTCTGCTTGTCAGTATAAGTGATAACACAAAGACTACATGACAGGTCGGTACTTGTCGTAGGAGCTTTGTTGTTATTTTCTAAAGGTGTTGACAGCTGTGTGCTGTGCATGGGAACAGATGTGTTTGAATACATGAAAGTATTTCCTGCCTGCTTTGCATCCTGAAATAAATAATCAAGGTTATCACATGTGGATCAGTGTGTGTTTGTTTCCAGTGGATCGTATGCAGATAAACACACTAAACAGATTATTACAGATTCTTCTAAATGTTGACAACATTGGGGAGATATTTACAGATTGATTTAAACACAGTGTTCCTGGCATGGACACCGTCTCACCCTCTCCAGCTTGTTTTCCTCTGCATACTTTTCATCTAATCTACCTTATCATTAAATTAATAGATGTGCTCACCAGCTTGTGGAGAGCTACACAATCACTGTATTCATTTATTGCCTCTCTGCTTCAAACCAAGCAGCAGAGAGCTTTATAATGAAGAGATGTGTCCGTCAAAAACAAAAGCACAACACATGAATTCATAACAAGAGGAAACTGTCAGACAAAAAATGTCAAGAAATGAACAACAGGTTGGATTTTAGAGTGTGGGGGGCAAAGATAATAAAACATAGCTGCTTTGTATGAAAACAGTGAGGAAATGTTTCTGACATGTTGATGACCTCCAGAGGAAATGAACAAGTGGTTTCACTGCATGAACACTTCCATATGCTAAGGAGAAATTGCTTATCTCATGAATGAACAGGAGTTGGAGTTTTAGTTTAGTTTAGTTTATTTCCACATTTTTTGAAAGAAGATTCAAACAGAAAAAATTAAACAAATAAAAAAATAAAACACATGTGCAGGTGAGGAAGAAACCCATGAGGAATTATCTCAAAACCTCACCTTAAAGGCTTTATATGTGATTTTTTGATCCAGCAGATGTCGCCCTTGAGCACCAGCATGAAACCAAAACAACTGGCACTGCAGTATGTTATTCTTCTTTTCTCTAGTCCCTCAATTAAACAACTTTTATACTCGAGGGGAGGAGTCAGCCGGCCGTCCTGGCGATGTAAACAAACTGAAGATAGGACTCTGAAAACTCTGAAAACATCACAGACAGTGGGACTCGGGTGTTACACCCATTGTAGACAGTCATGACTCACAGAGTTATTTTCAGAGGAGATACTTGATTTATATTATATTTAAGTGTGAAAAATCACATACAAAGACTTTTAAGAGATTAAACAAAGTTAAAATAAAATACAGTAAAAATAACAAAGTAAGAATATTTACTATCACAAATAAAATTTACCCGATTGAAAATGACATACAAACATTGAAAACATAAAAATAGAGCAAAACAGGACGTACAGTATGTAGACAATATAACAAAATCAGGACAATTCACTATTCACTACAAATCTTTCTGACATCAACACATTTCTGAGTCTCAATTTGTGTGTAGAAAAAGACAAAAAAATCATTAAGTAAATAAAGATTGCTTTTTGAATCAGTGGAGAGGATGCTGATCTGCCTCTGAAATAGTTCTTTTCTGATCATTCCTGAGCTGATTTGTTGAAATAATGACCTTCTCTGTCCTTCTTGTTCGGCCTTTGCCAAGAATTGAAACAGCACTGGTTCTTAATGTAAAGTAACCTTTCTTTATTCCCATCACGACACAGGTCCTTGTCTACCTGCTGTGAGCTGCTTCAAATCCTCGTGCTTAATAACCTCTTAAAAGCTTCTCTCTCTCTCTGTCCTCCTCAGTGAGATTCATCCCTGCCAAATCCAACCGGGCCATGCACACACAATGACCACTAAGATGTAAGTACTGCAGCATGTCGACTAATAACCTTCTAAGCATCATTACATAGTTGCAGATGGATGTTTAGGTTGCTCTCAGTCTGGTAATATCTGCTTCAAACAGATGAAGGATGTTGTCCCTCTTCATAACACTTGTCTGAAATTGGCCGTGGAGATAGAAAAGGCATTTCACATCGTCTGATCTCAAAGAATGCGTTAGAAGAGATTTAAGATTAAGATTTACTTCATTGATCCTGCAAGGGGAAATTTCAGTTTTTACACTCTGTAAGTCATGAACACACACATGCAGGAACAGGATCCTATGGACATGCATTCATGGAGAGAAGCCAGAGTGACAGGGCGGCCCACAGTGGGCGCTCCTGGGCTGGTGGTGGGGAGGGGGGAGGTTTGGTGCCTTGCTCAGGGGCACCTCGGCAGTGCTCAGTCACCTCCCAGCTACCAGACCAACTTTGGTCCGCACTGGGACTTGAGCCGGCGCCCCTCCGGTTCCCAACCCAAGTCCCTACAGACTGAGCTACTGCCGCCCCAATTTGTAGGATTTGTTACTTTGTCGTCGTGAGCAAATTTGCGATTAGATGAATTCTTAAAAATCCAATAAAACAGCCTTAAAAACTGTTTGACAAACATTTAACTGTGAAAGTTCTGTTCTGTTCAGCTTTAAAACTTTTTCAGAGTTTAAGAGGATTTCAGGGACACGATTTAATGAGAAAATAACTCATTGTTAAAGCTGAATAATGGAAGCATCATGTGATAACAGCACAGCCAATAAGGTTTCAGTGATTTGCAGGTGGAAAAAGTTTCCCAAGCAGCTTTAAATTCTGGGCTTCAGTGTGAAACATTTCAAAGAATTTATGACATGAATTATTGACTTTCACATTAACTTTATTTCAGAGGCATTTTCATTGTCTGCCTGAGTAACTGAGTTCTGCAGGAGTGTCTGGACTTAGTTTACTTTCAAATAGCTTGAAGTGAAGTTTTATATTTCATGGATTTTACAAGTGGGATGCCAACACAGGAAGGTCATCCTATTTCCTTCACACGTCTGACTATAACTCTGGGACACCTATCCTCAAACTGAAGGTTAAAGGAAAGTAAAGATATTGCTGGGAGAAATGTAGGTTTTGAATATCTGTTTTCTTTGGAGGGGAAACAAGTCCACAAAGAATATTTCTAAAGCCTATTTAAGTTTTCTTAATGTTTTTGACACTTACGAACCATCTTTGAGTGGAAACGAGTTAGTGCAAAAGCGAAGAAGAAGTTGGAACTGAGAGTAAAAAAGTAATTGATGAATGACTTGAAACGTCCAGCTACAGCCACAATGAAGTATTGGTGCAATTGCAAACTTGACCGAACCTATAAATGGAAAAAGAGACTAAATCTAAACAGAGAGCATTCTGGGATCATGATGTATCTTTCAAAAAAAGATGTAATACCAAGGTCCACTTTAGTGTGGCTAACAGAGTCAAATAACAATGAAGTAGATGGGACAGATCCGATCTAAAATCAGTATCGTGTCAGAGACGTACTTTACATATCAGATATTGGACTCAAGGCGCCGATCAAGAAAGATTGATGGTGCACACACTCTCAACTTGTACTGTCTCACTTTGAATACATTCAGACTGAACTGCAAGTGACCACAAATCGTCAGCAAGACGTTCAGACGAGATGGAACAGTTTCTTCTATATGAGCACAACTCTGGCACTTCAAAGTATTTCATTTGAAAACGCTCAGAATCAGAATCATCTTTAGTATAGAGAAGTATAATGGAGCTGGTTTTACAGACGGGTATGGGCAAGGAGGATGAACAAGGCAGGTGCCTGAACAAAAGTAGACGTTACAAGTTGTGGTTTTATGTGAACTGCTGACCCGTCATGTGTCACAACTTTCTACCACATGAGTCATTAACAGAAGAAGAAAGAAAACGGTTCACCAGTTCCTCCACTGTGTCACTGTGTTACTGTGTGAAATACAAAAGTCTCTTCCACTGCTTCACCTCCCACTGATGTCTCATCACACCAGTTCTTTTGTCATCACAGCAGGAGAAAGTCATTCAGCCTTTAATGTCATTAATGGACGGTTGCATCATGCCTAGCTTGCAGAACTCGCTCCTGTTTCCGACAAATTCATGATGAGGAGCCACTAAAACACCGAGTATGAATCACAGTTCTCCACTTCTTTCCTCATGGTATTTATTATATCCTTTAAGAGTGCACTACATTTTGATTATACTTGATCACCCAGACATTAAAAAAGAGGAAAACTTTAAAATAAGTGAATAAATAGGATAATTATGTATATGAAGGGGTGTGAGAAAAGCAGTACACCGTGTGCGTACTTTGTGACTCCTTGTGATGGCACTCATGACATGAAATGAGGGTTAGGTGAACAGAGGTGAATTGGCCAAAGACGAAGTTGACAGCAGGATAGAAGAAGAAGAAGAAGAAGAAGAAGAAGGAGCAGAAGTAGAAGACAGTGGGTTAATGTGACAGCGGTGAAAACAAGTTAAAAGATGGAAGTGTGATAAGAGGTGAAGCTGACACCAAAGTTGTAGTGAATAAATACATGAATCCTGCACTTCAGCTTTTTAAAGGCACATATTATTCTTCAGTTAAAGGCTCTATATGAATCTTTTATACTAGTATTTAAAAGTGTTCTCTGCACAGTCAGCCTCATTGTGTTTAGTTTAGTTTGCTCAATAAACATACAATCATGAGTAACAAACTTCATACATGTCCCCACTTGAAAGTTTTTGCAGTTGCACCAACTAAAATTGTCCATAATTTAAGATTTAAGTATTTGCCAACTACGACTTTCCTTGATTTCTGTGTCACTCTCAATTCTTTTGTGTATTTTTTATCCTTCTCACGTTTCCTATCTGTAAGGTTTTTTCATCTTTACACAGCTGCAATCTCATGTTTTCCTTCTCACTTTCCCCTCTCTCCATCACTCGCCCCCCTTTCTCTCCATTTCTCTGCAGGGCTTGGTCTGTGATGTTGACAGTCCTGATGCATATTTTCCTGCTGTCCCACAGTGAGTCCCACAGTCCAACACAACTGCTGTAACATGAACTTTACTCTAAAAAATGTAGATTTTGTGAGCTTTTTGGTCCTCTGGCAGATAGATTCTAAAAAATATTATTACAGCTAAAACTGTCAGAGTTAGAAGATGCAATTGTGGATATATTAATGTTAACAAGTGTCAAAATGTCACTCCAAGACTTGAACGATACTCCATTAAATCCAGAAAAAAGAGCCTTTTCATTCATTTAAAGTAGGAGTGTAAAGTTCACCTCAGCTTGTACGTGACATTTCTATTTTAGCAGCACTCAGATTCTGAAAAAGTAATACTGGTCACGATGTGTAAGTCTACTTAATCTCCGGGCACACAGCAGCCTTATACCTGTGTTGACACTAGATTCCATAATATACATCGTGCAACAACCGACAGATTTCCCTTGTGCAGCTCCTGTGGTGATTTCCACAAAAATAAAAAACCACCTCTCTCTCCTTTGACATGACGAGTATTACATCATATACTCGATTGTGACTTTCACCTGGCTGAATCAGTTGTACATCTTGCTTGAACTCTCAAGACTCTTACTCTGGCTCTCAATGTGAGAAACAAACAGAGTCTTGCTTAAAATAAAGAAAAACAAAACATCCATAATAACTGAAAGGAATGATGCTGCAAAAGATTTAAGTCAAAACTAAACATAGATAAATGTCAAAATGATTGTCACTTAAACCGAGGCTATATCAACCCTGCAGTATAATCATGCTCTAGCTCTTACAATATGTTTATTGGGACTGAAACTGAAATTCATTCTTCAAAGCAAACCACTGCCCAGTTGTATTTGTGCAGATTGTAGCTTCTTTTTTTTTCTCGTCCATGTTTCCAACCTGGCGTTAACCTTGCTTGTCTCTCTTTGCGCAGGTGTTCAGTGTTCAGAGTCCAAGGAAGTCTCCCTCTCCGCTCAGATGTCTTGGACCTCCCATGGCAGGATGAGCTGTGCTGTGACTCACCTGTAGGCCGCCTCAACGTGGAGGGAGAGGACACAGAGTCATGGGGGTCAAACCGCTCTGAATCAAACCTCCCACATGATCCCCGCTGCAGCTTCAGGAGCTCCACAACTGGATCCCACCCTCATGGGACCTCTGCCGGTAAGAGTTTTAATAACACTTGTTTTTACACATATCTGCTGGCCGGCTGTCCTGGCGATGTAAACAAACTGAAGATAGGACTCTGAAAACTCTGAAAACATCACAGACAGTGGGACTCGGGTGTTACACCCATTGTAGACAGTCATGACTCACAGAGTTATTTTCAGAGAATATACTTGATTTATATTATATTTAAGTGTGAACAATCGCCTTTAATTATTATAAAGCCTTTTATAATAATTATAATATTAATATTTATAATAACTAGAACAAAACACACTATAGCTTATCAGCCACATTAATGTCCCTAAATCAGCTACTGAAGTCGAAAGGTGAATATAAAATGAAATGAAGATGGCTGTTTAATTGATCTTTAGTATCTGTAAGCTTGTGTCAGTAACCAATAATTCTTATTTCTTTTGGGTGACTGGTAATCAAAGTGCTAGAAGGTAGTAGAAGGATATTTTGAGAGCATTATTGCTGATAGTTTCGCGATATTCCACGCTCGACTTCTTTAAGAAAATGAGTTCTGTAAGGAACTTGAGCAGTTGTGGGACTATTTGCCAGATAACATTCAAGAGGTACACGTGTCATCCTAAGAACTGGCAGTAACAGGGGAGCAGTATGATGTGACTCCTGCTCGTCAGAGTCACTGATAGAGATGCCCCCAAAGATCAGCCCGGCAGGCTCATTACACTTTAATGACTTTGATGCTGCCATCCCTCCGGGCTTCTTGTGCTGATGTGCTGTGATCAATTCACAAGATGGTCTGGCTCCCAGGGATCCCTCTTTTTTTATCAGCAAGCACAACAGAATCCAACCATCTGTTTCTCACCTCCTCTGTGTAGGAAATCATTCAGCATCTCATTCAGCGTCTCTGTTGTCTTACCTAGAACAGAAAGTACCAAAACAAACAAAGGCCAGTTCAAGTGAGTCATAATTTAAAAAAAAAAACACGCTCATGATATTGTCAGTGTGGAGGTGAAGGCGGACGTGGAGACAACATGAGGGCGGTGAGGAGGATTTGTTTTTTTGCATTGATCTTGAAGGCGCTGTGACGCACCAGAATCAATGGTGATTAGTGAAGACTTTTCAGCTTAAGGGCCAAACAATGATGATTAATCAGAGAAGCTAAAGGCCTCCCGACTTCTTTAAGAGGCCAGTTAGAAATGTGATTCAACTCCAAGGTCCCTTGTGTTTATTTATTTTAATTTTATTCATTTTCATGTTCATTTGTGTAGTGACCAGCATGTGGTAAGTAAACTGCTGAGGGCCCGGCGGTTGGGTCATACACCACCTCTTCTTTCTGATTTCCTGCTCTGTCCACTGTCCTGTCAAGTGGAGGAGAATGACCCCAAACAGTGTCTTTTAAAAAGACTAAATAAATAAAAAGAATAGTAATAGTTTCTGCTGTCAGGATGTCATTTTTAATATGGGCTGTATGGGACTTCTGCGTCTCTTAGAGCCGGTCTCAAGTGGACACTCGAGGAACTGCAGTTTTTTGCACTTCACCATTGGCTCTATTTTTCAGCACCAGAGGTTGCTGCTTGGTGCAGCCCTACTAATATAATGCTTACGCACTAACAGGCTAAATTGAGGTGGTTGCTATGGCAAATGTAGCGCCCTTGTTTTCTCAGAAGGCCTCATTAGGAGGTCAGTGTCATGAGGTACTAAACATCCATCTAACATGCAAATGTAATTTCTCCCCAGGCGCCTGTTTGGACGTACTGTGCAGAATTGACAACTGGGAAAATCTAACTTGTGACCTTCAGTCTCACACTCCGACCTTAACCACTGTGGGTCTGGGTCCCATAGCGGTTAGCTTACAGCGTCTGTTGTGAGTATAAAGCTGGCCCTTTTTATTTTTTACTGTTTATTCCTTGTACTGTTATCCCTGTGTGTGCAAATGAATCCTTGTGTGTGTTTGTGTTTGTGTGTTTTGTTCTGACCCCTTCCCGGCTGCTCAGTGGGGGGGTTGAGTATTTGTTATTAACTTTGATCAGCAGATGGGAAGCTGCATGATAGCACTCTGGCTCCAGGCTGTTACTGTAGTGAGAATAAAGAGACCAGTTCACCGTCGATCTGATACATTTACTCGATAAGACATGCCAAACACTGGACAGTTTTTAAAGAGTTGTTCAATAAATGAATAGTAAATACAATCAGATAATTGTTTTCCTTTTAAGTTCAGCTGTTAAGGAGCTTCATGTAGCAGAATGTTTCATCAGATGATCTGTCCAGGTGTCATGTAATTGAAAAGAAATGCTAAGTTTCCACTTTGCAATGTGCTCGAGGTCTTCACTTCTTATGTGAATAATGACAAACAAAAAGCTCCATAAAGTGAAGATTGAGCTCCGACATATATTTTTTTTAAACGTACATTTGTGTGTACATTATCTGTGCGGGAAAGACGAACTAGTAAAGGTGAGTTAATAAAGTAAAATCAAATTTCATTTCTTTTTTTTGATCAGGGTCGTTTTATTTTCATTTTCAACATTATATCACAGGCTCAAAAGGACCAACAGAACAGGAGAAAAACAACAACAACAAACAAACTAAAATGAATTCTAATTTCATTTCTAAAGTTTCTAAAGTTTCTAAAGTTTCTAAAGTTTCTAAAGTTTCTAAAGTAAGGCACAGGGATTAACTGTGACATCAATAAATGTCATAATTTATGTAAACAACACCAGTACTTCTAACATCTTGTTCCCCCTTTTTGCTGTTTATTGGACCTTACAGTATAAACATACATAACTTTAAACAACAGGTTGACTGAAGAATTTCTCGCAAACCATTTCCAGGTCAGACGAAGAAGAGTCCACCTCTTATAATCCTGTATTCTGTACGTCCGAGGATTCCTTCACTTGTTCGCTCCCTCTCGACGCTGCAACAAGCTTCGTCACCATGGTAACCGTCAGCATCTCCGACACCGTAGTCCCGCCAGTCCTTCTCAGGATTCCCCCTCGACCTGGTAAGTTTTTCCTTTTGTCTCATTCTTTGTTTTAGTCGGTCTGATAAATGTTTCCACTCTTTAAATCTGTAATGTACAATTTAAGTAAATTTACAAAAATAACGGCCATAAATAGTCAAAACAATTAATAAACTTTAAAAAAACAGACATGTTCTTCACCCTCTGGTAACAGTAAGAGGATGAGGAATCAACTTTGAAAGAGGCACAGGTGATAGAATTGTGTTTAATTCAAAGTGACCTTCTCCTCTCCTCTCCTCTCCTCTCCTCTCCTCTCCTCTCCTCTCCTCTCCTCTCCTCTGCCCTCCTCTCCCCTTCTCTCCTCTCCTCTCCTCTCCTCTCCTCTCCTCTCCTCTCCCCTCCTCTCCCCTCCCCTCTCCTCTCCTGAATTATTGTTCTATCTTCTGTTACATACTGGTACTGACAGAAAGACTTCTCAGTAGTTATTCCAAAGACTTTAAAATGTTAACACAATTATCACACTTGGTGGTGTTTCATGTGTTTTAAGTGTGACCTCACTTATCTGTTACTTACATACACTTTTAAGTGCATTACAGTAAGACATCAAAGAAGCAAGTTCCCAGAATTCACTTTGGTTTTCAAAGTCACTCGGTTCCCGACATTTGAGCCCTAAATATAAATCCAGCCGTGTGCTGAAATGATGTAGGTCTCCTCAAGCTTTAAAACACCTACGTATTTCACGACTTCCACTTTGAACTAGATGAATCTGGACGGATAAGGGCGAGGGTTTTCATTCTGTTGTGATCGGCGAACATGACTGGAATAGTGGAGAGCTGCTGGGCTGTGACCTTGTCCTGTGTGTGTGTGTGTGTGTGTGTGTGTGTGTGTGTGTGAGACATCCACAGTGACAGAGACTTTTCATGGTTCAACTAAACCTTTAAGAAAAACTGACCAAGCAGGACAGAAACTGAGGAGTTTGTGTAAATGACCCACTGGGGTATTCCAGTAGACCAGTGTCTGTGGTGGTTCAGGAAACCTTAGTATTAATGAAAAACACCTTAAGCCGTCAATTTGAATGTGGTATGCAGTTCATGATACATTTATATATTATATTATATTATATTATATTATATCATAGTCATAATTTACAAATATAATACAAGCTAGTTGAATAGATGGGGTGGGGGACATGTAATTTAAACTAGCAGAGCGTCCACATTTTTTTGTTTTTTTTCTGAATTATACTTTCCACTGTTTGTAATTATTATTTATTTTCTATCTGTTTTTTCTTTTTATGTTCAGCTTTGTCTTATATTTATGGAAGCCCATTTCCGCCAGTTCAAAAAATTAAAATGAAAACTTGGCTTTGTTGAGATTTTTCGAAATTATGAGATAATAAAGTCATAATAATGAGATAAAAAGTTGAAATAATGAGATAAAAAGTCAAAATTATGAGATAAAAAGTCAAAATTATGCCAAATTTTCATTTTTATTTTTTTCCATATATATTACATGTTTGGAATAAACAAATCAAATCATTATTCAACACATTAGTATGTAACATAAAGCACTGCTGAATGGTGAAAACTCTCTGCTTGTGCATCTTTAATCTGAATGTACAAAAAAACCATTAGTCTCAAAAGAGAAGAGATGCTAAGTAGCTCATTTCCATCAATTGTGGATACGGAAGCTTCAGTGTTTAGCCAGCTCTGCATCGTTCTTGAAACCTTTTTGCGTTCTAAACATTCTCTATTTTTCAAAATCATCTCTAAAGTTGATCCTAGTTTTATCACGATCGAAAATGGATGCACAAGATGAGATGAGATGTTACTTTGTCCGCATATTCACCAAACTGAAAGCCTCCAAAGACATAAAAT